GTTATCTCACAGGTAAATAATATCTATATAGTCCCCCAAAAAACATTAACAAGTACTCACCCAAATGATGCTACTTGCCGTATTAAAAAACAGATTTCTTACTGGAGTATCCACAAAGTTCAGCGGGCTCTAAGAATATTGAAATTCACATCAGGGGCAATTGTTTCATTTAATTTGGTGTAAAAAGGATTGGGTACATGACTAAAAAAATATTTACTACATATGTTGTTAATTTTATTACATTCCAGCTGGTATATTGAGCTAGATTATATGTATATTATCTAGTTGATACTATATTTTTAGTTCAGTGTTTTTACACTTTTTTGTTCAAGAACTGTCAAACCTTTCTGGAGAAAATGTAAAAAAGCCATCTTGTGTTGAACTACTTGTGATACTTGTGTCTGAGAAGACAGACTTTAACTTAACAATGGTACTGTTTTACAAAACTGTAATTTTTTCTGTTATAATAACATACATTGTTTACAGCATCAAATACTCTCTAGTAGATGCAATATGAAATTACTGTAATACACAATTGTAGAGGCGATATAATTTCAGCCTACCTACTAAGCTTCATATAGGTAAGGAGATATTCCATTTCTCCTCTTTCAGTGTGTCTCACCTTGCTGCTGCCTGCATAAAGATTATCTCTCTTCTCATATTCATGGTTTTTTTGCTCAACAAGTTGACTTGGCTCAACAAAGGGTGTGAAGACCATTATCTTCAGTGCAAGGGAAGAAGTAGGACAGCACAGCCAGGAACAATAAGGCAGGCAGACAAACACAGGACTGTTTCCTTTCACTGAAAGTAAGCAATTAGTTCAGCTCAGCTGTAACATGTAGCCTCACCTTTAGAATAATTCAGTTTTATGGCAACACATAAAGCAAAGCTATCAAATTATTTAAGAAAGAAATGAACAGGTCCTGGTGCAAGGGAAAGAACAACCTTCACCTTGCAAAGTGGAAGGATTCCTAAACAACTCAGTGTTTTCACACAAGCTCTCTTTAGCAGCAGTCTTCAGTTCCTCTATAAATGTGAACCTCAACAGTATGCTGATCTTTCCTTTGAACTGACTCTGTCAATGCCAGGGGACTTTGAAAGGTTGCAGTTACTAGACATTGGGTGCTCAGGTTTACTGTATATGACATTTATTGGAAATATGCTAGACTGTGCAGTTTAACTGCAACTATAGACCACAACAGACAGACCAGCAATGTTGTAGGAAATGGTGGTTAAAGTTTTTTCTGTTTTTTCCGAAACAACCAACTGGTTTACATTTATAGTTAACTGCTGTATGACTATAACTGCTTTATGACTATTTCTTCCTGCTGAAAAAAAAATACTTCTCAGGTAAATTAAGTACTTCATTTCTATTGCTGACTGAAGAAAGTGGTATTATTTTAGTGTTCATATATACAAGTCATAACAGTGTCACAGTAAATTTAGGGTTTTGCTTTCATCATTTCAGATTGTCAAAAACTGTACCTTGCAGAACACAAGAGTAGTAGGCAATTAGCAAGGCGCACAAACACAAGTCTGTAACAAGTTTATACTGCAGATGGGTACATGGGAGCTGAAAAAAATTTAAAACCACTGAAAAAAATTAAAACCCTATAGATCTGTTCTTAGAATGCCTTGCAGTTAGTATAAAACAAGTTAAACATTATACTGCTGCTTTAGCCATCCCAAGCCTGTTTAAATCAAAATAGATACAAGTCAGGTAAGCAGTTTCATTCAGAAGAATCTTTCCATAGGTGTATGGCTATGTCCATACAAATATCTGAGAAATCAAGAGCACTGCATTTCTATTAGAACCAGCAGATGATGCAAGCGTTCATTCTCAACAGAAGAGGGCATTAAGTTTGCCAAGACCTCAAACTTCCAGCTACTGCCATTTAAACTTCTGGGTTTAAATTAGCTGCAGTAGCATTTCTGGATGCAGCTTGCTTTAGAAGGATGCATTGGAGACTTGTAGAAACTTATATCTTTGCCATGAATGGCATGGCAAAGACATGCCATTCCTCCTGGCAGAAATCCTTAATAGTTGTGTGGAGTATTTAACGGTCACAAGAACATGAGAAAGTCATCCAAAATAATTGAACAGCAAGGAAAGCTAATGATTTATTACTGAAAACTTCAGAAGGCAAGCAATGAGAACAAAGGATTTAGCAGTGCCATCTTAAATATACTCCAGGCCATTGAGATTTAGATCTAAAGCTTACTCATTTCTGTTCTATTTCTCAGCAGTTATATGGATGAGTTTGAAATTTTACTGATTTAAAAGCCTAAATCTGCAAATAAGGTAAAACATTAATCCATTTAGGCAAGCTGAAGCAGCTAGGGGTCGATCAGAGACCACACCACCAATTTGTTCACATCACATTCCTCGACTTCTGCCCCTTCCATCCCCCTCCCCTCTCCTTTTTCTTTCTTCCTGGTCCTTTAGTTTTGTCATTCCAGCTGCAGCTCCTTTCTCTTACCCACCTCCTCCATTCCTTCTAACCAGCAAAACACACAGCTTCTCCGCACTGCCTCAGGTCACACTCACTGCAGTATTGGTGCACTCATCCATAGCACCCAATTCGCTGGAACACTGCCAGCCATGACACAGTCCTGCAGCACACTGTGCACTATGAAGCTGATCCACAGGGAACATATGACTTGCTCAAGTGGCTAGCGAAGAAACCATCCGAGTATGTATGCAGACTGAGCACAGGGTAGGTATCTACTTCCTTCTCCTGTGATGGGACAGCACATGCTTTGTCATTGCTCTACACACAGTCCCCCACTCCCATCAAGCAAAGCTGCTTTAGCTGCAGTCTCCTGTTGTGAGAACTGTAGAACAGGCAAGCTGTTATATGACTGTATGGACCCAAACATTTTGTTCTCTTCTGCTTTTAACAATAGCGAGCGTTAGATTCCACATGCAGAAACATATTCCTTAACAGGCAAACTGTAGCATACAAATCTTAGTTCGAGTAGACTGAAAATCTTTCCACAGGATCTAGCAAGCTGTGAAATCTGGTTGCTAGTTAATGTGTCAGAGATGCAAAAAAGCAGTTAGTAAGAAGCAAAAAAGACCACAGCAGTTGTAAATGGGCATTTTAGGATATACATTTCAATACAAGAAGCTATTAACTCTAGAGTATTCACCTTCACCCTTCTCATTTTAGGTTACTCACCTAGCAGTTAAAAAAACCCAAATAGGCCAGAAAGTTTCAGGAACTAGCCAGAACTCAGATAAAATTTTATTTTAAATAAGTGCCACATACAAAAAGCCATAATACCTGGCAGAATGAGAATGCAGGCATTTAAGTAAAGTAGAACAAAGAAAATAATGATCTTTCAAGAAGTTGTTGAACACTTGCAAAAATTAAAGGTTTTTTTTAGTGCAAGAGCAAACTACGAGTTCATACTATACAGTCCTTAGTGCAGAAAAATTAGGAAAAGAAAAAAATCGACTTTAAAATGCCAAGTGATGCTAATGGCTAAACAAACATTTAAAATCAGTTTCAAGCATTGCATCTTTATCAGGAATGATGGTAGAGTTTTGCAGAAGTTTCACATAGCAGTTAAATTTTAAAAGTGTATTTCAGTTGTAATAACCTCCTGTAAAAGCATGGCAAACCTCAATGATTTCAGTTTATTAAGGTAGTCTCAAACCATTTCTTTTTAGAAAAATATTTAGTTAAATTTTTAGAAGCTATATATAGCTGTTTTTTTCCCCCTACACAAGTCTTACAGAAGATTGTGTTCCCATGTGTTTACCACTTAAAACAAGCTCTGGTTCTCTATATAGCAGACACTATTCAATAGGCAATTCTGATAAAACAGATATGGCATCCAACGTAAAATGTGCTGGAACAGGTGACATTACAGTTCTTAATGGCTAAGAGAGAGTCTTGAAATTACTTGTAAGCTTAGAATCAAAATTCCAGGAAAAGCCTCTGGCACTAAAACACAAGCATCAGCTAATTCAGGGTTGTGTCCTTCCATTTTTCCTTCACACTGAAGGAGCGTCATGGGACGGATAGCCTCTGCTGAAGTCAACAGGACTACCGGCAGATGGGTACACTATGTAAGGAAGGATGTCAAGGTCTGACCTTTAAGTTCCCACAGCCAATGACTGGTGACAGTACCAAGAATCCACAGTGAGTACCCAGAAACAAACACAAACTGTAGAAAACTTTTTATTCTCAAGGTTTTCATTTGAGAAGCCTTGTATTGTGAGCAAATTAGTTCAAAAGGTAAAGGACCTTCTGGAACTTAGAGCACTATGTTTAATTTAAAGGACAACACAATATTCATTTGATGTAACAGGTTATTTTTGGAGCATGATCAAGTTAATGAGTATATCATTAACGTTCTTTAGTATCACTTCCTCTTACGTTTAGGTACCCTTTAGCTCACTTCACAAAGGTTTTTTAGTCCTTTAAGTGATTCTTTGAAATTCTGAAGTGAACACCTACTATTCTTAGATGCCCTAGCAGCTTGCAAGATTTTAAGGCTCTGTGGTTATTGTACCCCTATATTTAATGGGCTTTTAGAAATTGAGATACTTGTTCTAGAAATTTAAGATACAAGTTTTATTTTAAGTTACTGCACACTCAGCTCATTAATGTCACATTTAGAAATAGAATTTAGGTCTTAGTAGATAAGAGACACTTTGTATGTTTTACCGATATTGACTGAAAAACAGTTTGAGTACCATGTTAGCTCAACCAGTCAAACAAGTTAAAAAGCTTATCAAAAAATATTTTGTACATTCTTTTGTATTTCAAGCGTCAAGTAATAAACTTGCTATTAAACCAAGTTGTATCACACACCTATCAAAAATTAACAAACAGAACAATGCTGGAACAAACCATTCTGCTTAATTTTGGGCTTGGTCCCAAAAGAGGTAGTCCATAAGTCACACAAAAATAAAAATTCCACAGAAGTTAACCTAACATGCCAGTCTTCTCCACCATATGTAGCCTTATCACTAAATGAGGCTATTTCATATCTGAAAAAATAATAAGTTAGTGTTCGTGTAAATACAGGAACTATACTTTAAAATTATTTCTTCATCTGTAACCAAAATTAGGTCCAGCTGAATCAATATATTAACATATCATTAATATATGATATTTGCACATCAGCCTCATTAATAAGAATTCAGCTTTTCTCCAAATTAAATTTGAAACACACCTAATATACAGGTACACCTTTAAATAACAAAGGATCCATGTATTTAGGTTTGGAGAGAAGCTTCAGATTGTTAAACCTCATTAGTAATACAGGTATATTTACTATCATTTCTCTACAAATGCTGCTGCTGCCATTGAATTCCTCATGGTTCCTCTCGCTGAAGCTGTGAGCTCTTCAATTTCAGCATTCAGTCTATTAATTACCCATTCCAATGCTTCACGGCCCTACAGTTAAAGAAAAGTTTATCAGTGTATAAATTGTAGCAGGTAAGGAAATAGGTTAAACCCTGTCTTACTGAAAACGGCTAAAGACACAATAGTTGAAAAAGGAAGAAAAGGTACAGAAATACATGCCTCTTCCTATTTTTACTTCAATAACCGGCGTTATTGAACTGGAGGAACACGCAACTGCAGGAACATGTACTGCCTTACATTTCATGAAAAAAAATCCTTACGTCAGCAGTGCTCATGTTATGAGCCACAAAAGACTTTTTATCCAGATTGTTTTATTACTCTTGAGGCTGAATTCAAGACAACTTTTGATTCCCAGAGGATAGACTCTCAACTAAAATATCACTACTACCACCATTACTCCCACATAACTACTTCAGGTCTGTCTGGATGTATATCCTTTTTCAGTAGCAAAAACTAATAGGTGGCATCAAGAGGGCAACGAAAGAGTGACAGTGCCAGACTGTTGAGTGAGTGGTGACGTTTTTCCAGTGAAGATTCAGAGAGGCTGGCCAATAATATTTATTATCTCCATCCACAAGAAGGAAAAAAAGAGAAAGTTCAGCAAACTGAGCATTCAATCTTTACAATAAAGGTGGTAGAACTATGCAGACCCTTCCTAAGACAAAGCCAAAAAGTAAAATAGAGATTTTTATTCCCTTTGTCATTTAGCCAGTGGTCACGCATTTTACAAAAGGGTCATACTTACTTTGTTAGCATTGGATGAAATTGTGTTTGCCATTAGCCCTTCTAGATAACTGCTGAGACTGACACCTTTTACAGATATTATTGCTTCTTGTGTCAAAATGGTTCTGAAACAAGAGAGCAGGAAACTGAATTATTCTAAATAGTTTAAAAAAGAATGCATTGCTGAAAGAAACTGCTCCTCCCCAGCAAGTACATCATCAGTACATTCCCTCATCAGCTTTGCTGTATAACACAGAACTTCTTGCCCCGTAAACACAACCCACTTCCACAGTGCTTAACTGCTTTATGCTTCTACTCGTAAAATAAAAACCAAGAGTCCCCACTAAGTCCAGGTGTCCCTTTGTGGCACTCAACTACTTCCATCTTTAGCAGCAGCAAGTTAAGAGTGGAAACAGCAGATATGGAATGAAGGTATATGGGGAAAACAGTATTAAGCCCTCTCCTTCAACAATAGGGATTTAACATTTCTGACTGTGATGACAGAAAAAAACCCTCTTGTGTTAGAATCCCTAGAAGGATTCCTTGAGAATTACCACTAGTTTCAAGAAAATAGACTCGGCAAGCTCTAAAGTTGCCTTTACACTTTGGACCAAACCAAACCCCAAACTTCTAAAATGGTAGACCAGAGGCAGATAAATGTGCCTCTAGTGCAGATTCTGTGCTCAGGCTGATAAAGAGGTCGGAAATAAGGAGCTGATAACTGAAGGCGTGTACAAACTTAGTTACAGATAGGACACAGGACAACTCCCTGAAAAGCTGATCTGAATTGGACTCTGTCATAGTGTAAGAGTAGGTTTCCCAGTAGTGCTCTACAGAAGCAATGTCACTAGAGAAAATGACAGTCCATTTAATTATTTTTTAGACAAGTCACCATAACAAAGGTGATGTAAGCCTCATCTTCTGTTCAAGGGAAACCATGGGAATTTTCAAAGCCAAAGTATGCACTACTTCAGGGCAATCTCGGAACAAAGAGGTACTTACTTGTCTGGTTCATGAGGGTGTGGTTTATAGACAAGCCTCTCATCTACTGACACTAGGTTTGTAAATGAAATCTGTAGAATGTAAGACAAGATTACTCTTTGATAAAAATAGTAAAGGAATGCAGTAAATAAAACTGAGATGCAAAACTAATGCTTATATCTGATTTAAACATTGTACTTTTCCTGCAAGTATTAGGGTTGCAGAACAAGATAGAAAAATCTTCAAGTTAAGCATTTGCTGATTTAGTTCTCTTAAGTTTTTGGATCATTTACCAATATACACTACCACATTTATAGGAACATTTCAACAGTGGGATCAGACAGATGGAACAGTACAAAGAGCAAAACGTTACATGATTAGGAAATGGTGACAGTGTACCCCAAATGGCTTTTAAATTTTTTGTCTTAACACCCCTCCTACCCCCTGCCAAAAAAACCCTGAAAACTACTGCTCTCCTGCTCATCAGTATGTTCAAGATGCTTCAGTCCTGACAAGTTCGAAAAACCTAGTAGCTCCTTTCTGAAAAGTAGAATCAGTCACTATAAACACATTACTTAAACCTTTAGCTTGTATTGTTCTAATGCAATTTTAATTTCAAGATTTAAAAATTTACAAGGAATTCTTCTAATCTGTAATCTATTTCAATTACATAAACACAGCTACTTACATTACTGGATTTAAGCTCCATTGTTTTTTTCACTGGGTCAACAACAGAGTGCTCCTGAATATATGTCTTTGTTCTACATGTGCCAATGAGCTAGAAGACAGGCAAACATATATGGAATTAATTATGCTAAACAATTGCGATTTTTTTAGTGTCTATAATTGCATCAGTAGTGGTTATTGTATTGAACAGATGCTGAGACAACAAAATTAGGGTTTAGCTTAAAATAAAACTGTTGAGGTAGATCTCATTTTCAAGATGGAAGCAATCTAGAATCTAGGCAATTTTGTCTATCAGGAAGTCACTATGTGTGCTGCCATTGAGCTTTCCTGATAGATAAATGCTTGTATTTTTAAACTATTGAAGTTATGAAACAATACACGTCTATTACAACACCTGGTTCACAAGCTTCCCTACCCTCTGGTATCCTTTTCAAGCTGTGCAGTACAATACATACGGATTTCACAATGGAGGGTATTCCCCATTCCGTACTGAGGAGTCTGTGGCTGTGCAACTTCCCACTAGGGTCTATGTGTCTGTCCAGGACATCGACTCCAACCACACTGGGGTTCATGGGGTTCGGGTATTTCTGCATGGCAGCCGTCGTTACCGTTTCCCAGGGGTGACTGCCAAAACATAATCAAGACACAAAGTTGGACACCTTCATTTTTTAACAGGATTTCTATTAAAACTGAACACATCAATCGATATATTTTTTTAAAGCAGTTCAATTTCTAGTTCTCAATCCTACCGATATCCTTCCCGAGAGGAAAACATCCGGTCTGTGGATTGGGCAGCGGCACATGCAAGTGAAGCATACAATACACCTGGTTAATCAGGACTCCAGAGTTCAATTCCCATCTAGCTTATAATTTGCTAAGAGCGTTTTCCCTGTGACATAATGCTGAAAGACTGCAATTCTTTTCAGGTTTCGGTAATGCTAGAATAATTTATTAAACTGTTAAGTTTCCTCTAACAAATGCTTCCTTCGGATTATTTTCCAGGACAGCTGTGTTTTAAAGCACTTGTGCTCTGACAGCATGAAGCGACTCGCAGTGTTCTGGCCAGTGCCGCAGCTGGAAAGCGAGGACGGCATAAAGACAACCCTTAACAGGGCCAACACCGCGGCCGGACCCGGCCACGCCGGTACGCCTCCCGCTTCGGTCGGTAAGTGGCTTCACAGCCTCACTGGCTGCGTCTTCTCAGAAGCGCCCACAGCTAACGGCACCCGCACACCCTGCCCGCCCCGCTGGCGGCACCAG